AAGCTAAAAAATATATAATGCCTATTATGGCATCATAAAAAATTTTAAATGTTAAAGCTTATAATCCAAGTTGTTGTTTTTAACTATTTTTTTCATGGCACTCTGAACAAGAAATGAATATCTGTAAAAATTTCCATTTTATTCACAAGTGACCAAACTTTGTGTTTTTATTGAATAACAATGCTTCTTTAAAAGAAGTTTAAAATATTTAATTGATTACACCGGAGAGCACATTTTTTGTTCATTTAGACAAATAATTCATCTTGCCTTATTTGGGTCGGGGGATTTCAATTCTGAAATTAGTTTTGCTCTTAAAGCTATAGATTTTTGTTTAAAATGACATTTTTGGTTAAATTTTTTGGTATAATCGTGCAAGTTTAAAACGAGCACGTACACGTGTTATATAACAAAGGGTCATGCAAATATTTTGACAAACTTCTCGGGGAGTTAGGCTCATTATCAGGTATAAAACTGTATAGGAATCCATAACCGGAAATGTCTTTGTATAAGGCTGAGGATGCTGCTCTTTAATGAACTTGTGGGGAGGGAAGTATTAGACCATGTCAACCGTTATCTATGAAAAGGTACCCCGACATAGAGTCGAGTTAACATGTCTTATATACTAGTGAATTGTAGTTGTAATTTTGTAGTGGTAGATACGCTACAGTACTCCCCCACCAGAATTATAGCTATGATAGAATTCGATGAATGGATGCCACTAGTTGATTCATTGCTGTTTTGTGCAAAGCCGGGAGAGCTGTATTAAGATCACCGTATTTTTTGAGTGCTGAATGTGAGAGGTGTATTAACTTCACGGTCGTAGTCGCTCCTCTGTTGCCGTTAGCAGTCGAGTAATCACAAGTATGCAAGCCGACGTTGTGCGTGATTGAGATGAAACTGAGTAGCAACAGTGCGAGGAGATGGATAACGCCACAGTCACAAGTAGCAAGTCAACTGTTCAATGCGGATCATCCATCGAAGTAGGCGTTACTGTCTAGGTAGGCCTATTCATATCGAAGTGGGCGTTACTGCCTAGGTAGGCGTGTTCACATCACGTCCGGGTCACCAATGTGGGGAGGGAAGTATTAGACCATGTCAACCGTCATCTATGAAAAGGTACCCCGACTTAGAGTCGAGTTAACATGTCTTATATACTAGTGAATTGTAGTTGTAATTTTGTAGTGGTAGATACGCTACAAACTGTTCAGAAGCACACAAACAGCTAACAACTGGAAAGTACTCGTAGCGTCTAGGCATGGGTTGCCGGTGATGAGCCCTAACCTCCCTAGAAGTTCGTCACTACATTTGAGGACTATCTAAGTGCAAAAAAAGANGAGTTTTATATTTGTATTGAATTAAAAAGTTAGTCGTTACATTGATTAAGAAGAGAATACAATATTTATATTTTCTTTTTATAAAATGTAATAGAAATTAAATAATTGGTTTAATTTATTTAAAACTAGATTACGAGAGATTAAAGAAATGACATTTATGAAATTAAAGAAATTTCAAAGGCTAGAAAACATACAATGCCTATTATGGCATCATAGAAATTTTAAATGTTAAAGCTCATAATCCAGGTTGTTGTTTTTAACTATTTTTTTCATGGCACTTTGAATATAAATGAATATCTGTAATAATTGAGAAAATTTCCATTTTATTCACAAGTGACTAAACTTAGTGTTTTTATTGAATAACAATGCTTCTTCAAAAGAAGTTTAAAATATTTAATTGATTCCACCGGAGAGCAAATTTTTTGTTCATTTAGACAAATAATTCATCTTGCCTTATTTGGGTCGGGGGATTTCAATTCTGAAATTAGTTTTGCTCTTAAAGCTATAGATTTTTGCTTAAAATGACATTTTTGGTTAATGTTTTTTGTTTAAATGTGCAAATTTAAAACGTACACGTACACGTACACGTTTTATATAACAAAGGGTCATGCAAAACAAAATATCTTTTTTTTTTTCCTTTAACAGAAAAATCAAAAAATCACCTAAAGATCAAGTTAAACAAAATGAAAAACTCCCTAAGTCTGAACTTCGGTAGTAATAGTTAAAAATATGTCGAAAGAATACGCTGGTTGAATGTGCCATGTGCAGTGAAATGGAAAATGTCCTAAGTGCCATCAGTGCTCAGTGATAAAACACCCAGCTTTTTGTTCACGTACGATAAAAAAGGAATAATTTGAGATCAAACAATGACATTAAGTAGGTATTTAAAAACTAAACGTAAGAAAGTTAGGTTAATATGTAAGGTGTTTTTGGCTACGAACTCGCTTTAGATTGGCTGTACTGGACCTTACAGTCATGAGTAACTGTTGCAAGCTCACAGCAGTTATAAAAATAGCATATTATTCGCAAAAAAACATCATTTCATAAGATGACGGAGCCTTCGAAAAATAGTTGTAAACGAGGAAAGTAGATAGTAGTGTATTCATGACAAATTGAATCCTCCTTTTTGTGGGAATGGTTGTTTATTCGTGAAACTCTGCACCCTTCTCAGTGATTGCCTGCTCAGATTGTGTTTACATTTGTTCTTTGTATCATGTTCAGTGATTGTTTATAATATAATGTTCAACATTTTCATTACACTTGTGTTTTGTATCATCTTCATAAGAAGTTTTTATCGTAATGTTTGACAGATAGTAAGTTTTTATTCAAAAAAAATTTAAGTGCGCAACATTAATTTTAAATCAAATTTGCTATCAATATTCCATCTCAATCAAATAATTTATTACTTATAAAGTTACTCGAAGTTTTGTTACTAACTAAGTTACTAAAAATATTTAGTGTTCGCAATCTTTAAAATTTGAGTATTTAGTATTTTTAAAGTTTTTAATAGATCAGTACAACTGCTTGCATATGCTGATGATGTTGATATAATTGCTCGTTCCCTTCCTGCCCTGATAGAGGCATTTCTTGCCCTTGAGGTGGCTGCAAGGCAAATGGGCTTGGTCATAAATGTAGAGAAAACAAAATACACTTAATTCTCAAGAAACAGAGTCCCAGACTCCTATCTTGAAATAAATTCGTATAGATTTGAAACAGTGAAGAGTTTTAATTACTTAGGATCAATTATTACCATTGACAACAGAATTACTGATGAAATAAAAAACCGACTCTATCTGGCGAATAGGGCTATCTATGGGCTAAGAAGATTTATTAAATCTAGGTTTCTTTCTAGAAAAACTAAGTTCGTAATCTACAAAACTCTTGTCCGGCCAGTCTTGACATACGCTTCTGAAGCTTGGACAATGGCAAAACTGGAGGAAAATTGTATCGCAATATTGGAGAGAAAGATTTTATGGGGTATACTTGGTGGTGTAAATGAAAAGAGTAACTGGAGAAAGAGATTTAACTTTGAACTGTACTAGATTTATTAGCAACCGGATATTATTAAATACATGAAAATAAATAGAATGGATTGGATCGCCGACGTGATTCGAATGAGTGACGACAACACAATAAAAAAGATACTGCATTTTAGACCCACTGGAAAAAGAAAGCGGGGAAGGTCGCGGATGAGATGGGCTGACTCAGTGGAGTCTGATTTTCTCGCAATTATTGAAAGGAATTGGAGATCAAAGATAAATCGGAAGTCCTCATGGAGAAATCTTCAGAGGAAGGCATTGGCTCACATTGGGCTGTATGGCCAACTATGATGATGACGATGAGCATTTCTGAAGACAAAATTATTAGTTAAAAATGTGGGATATTAGCAATGTTCAATTAGATGTTATACATACATAATTTTTTAAACATAAACCTTTTGATGTAAACATTGAGCATCCACAAAAAAATAAACGGATCATCCTGAGTAACTTTTGATCTAATGATCGGATCTTCATGTTTTAGGATTCAATCTTGATAGTTCGTGGAGATGACTTTAAATATGCGATTTAATTGGTGCAGACGATATTTTAAGTTTCAGACACAAAATGTACTTTCTCTGTTTTTTTCGATAGATTCGCATTTCTGCTCATTCCGAGGAATAAGGTTCCAATAATTTGGTCTGGAGAGTGATCCAAAGTTTAGACCCCTTAATGATAATTTTATTTCATTCGTATTTCACTACATCTCGAAGCCCTTTAAAACGAATTAAAAATTTCTTGCACATAATTTTAAAATTCGTTTATTCAAATACAACGCTGTGCAAAAAGTGATTTTTAGTAATAATTTATTATTTTATATAATAATAGTTGAAAAAATTCTGAATAATAAGGTAATATTTTTTTTCATCATTTTAAAGAATATAATTTTACATGTCAAAATACAAAATTCCTAAGAAATTGAATTAAAAAAAAATATGTGTTTAAAATTCGATTTCTCAAGATTTTTAACATTGAAAACTTCAAATATTCAAATATATAATTGTGTATATAATGAAATTCTTTGACTTATTTGTTACAAATATTGGTGAAAAATTCCATACATTACTACAGATACCTTTTTTTGCTTAGATCGGCTATAAATTTCCCCGCTACTCAAGTACTTTGTATACGAATTTGTATTTGCTCGTTCTTGTGACTTTACGTAGTTAGTCATAAATGTTCAAATGTCCAAAAATATGTTATAAAAGGGTAGTTATGAATAAAAATATGTAATTATATAAATTTTTTTGCAATACTAGTTCGTAACAGGAAAGATTTGACGTAATAATAAACTTAATTCTGAAAGCTGGTTCTAATATTTTTATAATCGTAGTACCAATACTTTATAAACAAACACACATATTAATTTTTATGTATGTGTTGTGGAAAAATTTGCAAACTGTCTCGCCATTTTTTAGGCTTACTGCAATGAGCTTTGTTGTTTGGCACGTTAAAATGAGTCGGATTTTTCAATTAGCTCACGACATGCATGTAAATGGAAAGGAAATCCCGCTGCATAATTAATACCAGTTAGTTGATCTCACATTTGTTTCGTAATAATACATTCCACAGAATTTTTGTTATTTAATGAAATGTAATTGGTATTTATTGAATAAATTATGCATACCTTTTTGATTTGATCTCCAGTTCTTCAAAACTTAGTTTTATTTCTTTGCCATCATCAGAAACAAACCATAATGCGGGGATATTGGTTGTTCTGTAACCATTCTGGTAATAATAAAAAAGTGATATTTAAAAAAAATAAAAGTTTACATCTCGATTTATGTTTCAGTAAGGTTGAGTTATGAAATTAGCTGAGATGGGAATTTTTCTTATCCTGTCGAAGATACAGGATGGTACATTAATGCACCGTTAATAGATTTTCTGAAGGAAGTAAACAAAACAAATACCATAAAATTGTGATTAAGATGCCAGATGGGGCAACTAAACGGTACCTTAGAAAAATACAACAAAAGTCAATCGGATTTGAGCCTTAATATCGTTGAACTTAATTGTACACATAATAATATATTCTTTTTTATTCGCCTAGTCATACTCATTTTAATTTTAAAAAGGTATACCCCTGTCGCTGAACATAAGAAAATAATTAATATAAGGGTTGATAACACCGTTTTGTGGCAACATTTGCAAAGAATTCTTTTAATATCACTTCGTTGTTAATAGGAATGCTCTGTATTTTTTTCATCAATTACTATTCATGCTTAATAGTTCCTTATTAATAATACTCCACACTTCTGTTTTCAACTTTAAAAGTGTTGATGTTGATATAATATTCCTAATAAATTTCTTTTATTCCTAATAAAATATTCCTAAAAAAAAAGATGTTCGTACTTCGTAGACTAACATGCTCGATAGGATATGTAAAAATTCTGAGTTTATTTGAGACCTGGTGAATAGTTAAAAAGTATTAAAAGGCAGTAGGGTTTTGATTTGATTATTTCCTTCAAATAAATAAACGAATGAATAAATAAGTAAATAAATAAATAACTAAGTAAAATTAATAAAATAAAACAAAGAAATCCGGAATTTTCTAAAGTGTATCGACTAAAAATATAACAAATTCGATATAAGATAAAAACGTTTTAAAACGTTATTTATTTTTTGAATAGGAATTTTATAAAGAAATGAAACATTGTATAAATTTTGAAGTCAGAGTTTTTTTTATATAGTTATTTTATATACACATTACTTGAATTCATTATCAGAACTGGTTCATTACCAGAACTGGGTTCGTTTCCAGAAATAAGTTAAACTGAAAAGAAATCGATATTTTTAAAATGCTTAAATTGGCATCTATGACTATTCAATTTTATTCGGATTATTTTTTTTTAATTTGATAAGTTTTGTCTTAGTTTTTAGCCACTTCTGAAGGCTCTAAATTGTTTCAATTGATCAAAAAGCATTAATAAATAAACTTACTTCTAAACTAGTGCTAATATAGCTGACTAACTGTCTAAAGAAGCAATTTTCTGCTATTTTTTTTATCGAGAAATTAATTTAAAACTTATAAAAATAAGTTTATTTGAAAAATTAAGTTTTAGATATACCAACGAACCGTGTTCTTTTCTTCTTAAATTTGTTGTTGTTTTGTAATGAAGCTTGTTGTTTGGTTCTTTAATTTTTGCATCACAGCTGCTTGCATATTTTAGAGATTATAGTTGGGAAATTTTCTTCTAATTATAAGGGAAAAAAAGTAAGCGGGGAGCTATTTTTTCTTCTCTATTGTTTTTAAATATTGCAACTGATTGCAGCATTGTTAAAGGCGTTCTTATTATTTTGCTAGTTTAAGTAATCAGTAAGTAATACCAAAGAAGTTTATAGTATGGAGTATGATAGTTTACTGCATAAATATTTTACTGCGTTTTTATGTATTACTATATATTTTGCCAACTAAAATTCAAGTAACTAAAATTATTATAAAGTAAAAAATTATATGATGCATTTTGAACCATAGTATAATGTTAATTTCTCGAATTCTATTTAACGAATTCATAGCGTTTAACCTTAAAGTTTAACTGGTTAGAAAATTTAAAATTTATCTAAAATTTATTAAAAACCAAAATAAAATCTTAATAAAACTTAAATAAGAAGATGACTAAACTTGAACAACATCAGTAAACTGGAAAGCAAGCATAGTTTAATTCAACACCTGAATAAAAATGCAGAAACCATCCACAATATCATTTAAATCGTGGTACCGATTATAAAAACCGCTTGTGTCGATACTGAAATTATTGTTCCAATGTTATTTATCTTTAAGCAGATTTTTCTGACAACATATAAGCAGCTAGAGTATATTTCTTCGTGCTTAAAATGCAAGTAACACATATTTATTTATATTTCACTCTTGGAATCATGATTTAAACTATCAGAATCGGTGTGTTGAACCATATTATATATGAAACTGCTGAAACCTTTATAAGATATCGAATTGAACGGGTTATAATCCACTTGAAATTGAACATGTTATATTATCTTATGCCAGCATATTTTCAATTTTAGAAAATTTATTCAGTATTATAGTTAGATAAGTATCAATTTAAAACATCGTTAGAAGGTATTTGGGGGTTCGGAAAGTAATGCCGTTTCGGTGCATTTGATATTTGTTATCAAGATTTTATTTTTAATCAATAATGTATTCACCCTCGTTAGAAATAACCTTTCAATATCAGATCGAAAATGAATCGAAATGGGTCGAAAAAAAAATTGGTTTTAAGACTAACGAATGTGCCAAAACGACATTACTTTCCGGTCCCCCTAATGATAGAAAATTATTGAATATTAAAATTTTCTTGAAATTTAGAGACTAACACAATGTTTGATATTTTGGACAACCTTGAACTACAATATTGTTCAAATTTAAAGTTTTTATGCTTGCTAAGGTAAATCAAAAACCACAAAATGATCTGTTTTAATCTAGATTACATAACAACATGGTAAAACTTGAAGGAAGACTTTTTTTCAAGTTGTACTAAAACTTTCATATGCTTCAAATTAAATCAAAATATGGTGCAAAAAGATCTTTATTGAACTAGATCAAGTAACAAGGTTTAACTTGAACGAAGATTTTCTTCCAAGTTGAATTGAAACTTTCATACGTTCTAAATTAAATCAAAATATGGTGCAAAATAATGTTTATAGAACTAGATTACATAACATCACACACGTGGCTCAACTTAAATGGAGACTTTCTTTTAAATGGATCTGAAACTTTAATTCTTGCCAAGTCCTCCTAAAATAGGCTGCGAAGTAATCTTTTTTGAATTAGATTGCACTATACCACGGTTCAACTTGAGCGGAGAAATAGTTTAAGTTAACTTATCTAAGTTTGAGATAAATTCGACTCATATTATGATTGAAATTGAGTTGATTTTTTTGAGAGTGTAAGAGGTACACTGGGAAAAATTCTGAATCAAATTACGGTAAGAAAAATTGGCACTCAGGGTGTCGGTTCTTTTTTATCGTAAAATCATACCGAAATGTTACGGAAAAAAATTCTGATATATCGTAATTTTTACAGTAATAATTACCATAAAACCATCGAATCACTCTAATTAAACATATATTTCTGGAAAAATTGCAGTATAATATTTACAGCGAAAATTGATTTTACGGTAAGATGGATTTTACGGATGACGCACTCGAAGTACCGGTACTTGATCCAGCTATTTAATCCTGAATATTTCGCAGTGTAGTAGGTACATCATAAGCAAACAATTTAATACGTAAAAAATTTAAATTTTTATAAAAACAAGCATTACTTACCTTTTCCTTAAAAGCCCATTGATCAAGAATATCTGAAGCAAAGTTGAAATGTGTTGGTACTGTTAGATTATATGTTGATCTCTCTTCCTCGTAGTTACTAAAGCCACCAACTCTTGTTAACGATGTTAGATATCTACAAAATTTGGTATAAACAATTATAGGTGATTGTTTCAACGCTATTTGGTTTGACTTGCATTTTAAATTTTTAAGAAAAATGCGCAAAATTGGGTTAGTGCTCATTTTTGCTAAGGATATAGGTTTTTGACATCAGTTCATTCACCTAACCTGTAAGAAAACATGATTACATTTAAAGTGTTTTGAAGTCACAATTTTATTTATTCCAGATACGCTTTATCAAGAAATATATATTTGATAAGATAAGAAAGTGGAAAATAAACAAATAATCTTCCTTTTCCTGATCAAAGCATTTTAGAGCAAAAATTGGAGATAACCTTTATTCATATCTCAAATAAATATGCAAAATATGGTATTTTTTCTAATTGCTTGCAATTTCTTAATTTTTAGTTAATTTTAATAATATTTTATACCAGAGGCTTGAACTCCATAAGTAGATCAACATTAGAATTAGTTTTTTATAATTTTTTATTTAACTTAAAACTGAAAGCCTACATAATTTTGTAACGAAAGTTATGTATTTATTACACAGTGGTTTTATATGTATGAAATTTCTGTGTGTTAAAATACTGATATAAATTAGACCATAACTACGGGCTTTATGAGGAGTCAAACTGAACTACACTGGTTATCATAAATTAAGGAAAATTCACAAAAATCGCGATAACTCTTNTATGCAAATTTTGCACGGTTTGGCTTACTTTTGAAAGAGTTATCGCTATTTTTGTGATTTTTCCTTAATTTATGATAACCAGTGTATAACATTCTCGCATGACAAATCTGTGTACATTTTGAACAAAGTCATAATACAAGGGCTGTGACATCTTATAACGAAAGTTAAATACTGTTATTTTCTAAATAATAAAATGTGTTTTTAGAAATATGTTATAATCGCAGTAAATACAAAATAATATTATTTTTTTCACAATCTACAAGTTATAATTTCTATACGAATGGTAAAGTGAACAGAAATATGAAAAATATGACATTACATTATTTTTATTTTATTAAAATGAATACATTTACTTCTACATTTTTGAGTTACTTTTTAAATACTAAAAACTCTTTCTACAAAATAACTAAGTGTTTTATTCAAATTTTAAAAGTTGTAAAGTTACTTTTTTATGATATAAATAGAAAAAAAAACTACAGAAAGATACTTCGTGGAAAAATTTAATCATATATGTACGTACCTATGTTAAAACTTAACTAAAACTGGTGCATCTTACCTACAGTATTTGGCTTACTATAATCTCCTATAACCGAAATACTATGACCATCTGTTGTACATAATTTTATTCCATTTACCTTACATAAAAGTTATTTAATTTAATTACTTAAGAATTGTATGAAGAACTCGCATGCTTAATAAGAATTATGGAAGTGTATGGAAAACTCATTGTTTAAAAATGCATTTTATGAGCAATAAATGAATAAAAAATATTTTAATAATAAGTTGTCATTTCGAGATTTTCGATCAAAAACCACAACTCAATATTTTTAAATAAGGTGCAAGTTTTAGTAATTAAAAAAAATTAACATTTATTTTGTTGAAACTTAAGTATTTTTAAACTTTTCGAAAAACGCATTGAGTCACACGTTCAAAAGTTCTATTTGTTTCTTTTTTTGAAGCTTTTTCTCGAAATTGGAATAAAAAGAATATTTTCCTCTAACACCACTGCATCAATAAACCTGAAATTTGGCGTATATATCCTTTATATCATTCATATTAATTTAGCGTATGGTTAAATATTTAATTAAACAAAAATCGGGAAATACGAATTCGTTACCATCTAAAACTCTATAAACTACTTATATTAAATTTCGCAAGCCTATCCTGGAATATAGATTCCCAATAATCTTCTGTGCTTCCGAAACAAATTTTCACAAACTAAAACGAGTTCAGCTTGATGCTGCCCGAATTGAAATTATGCTTGAAATTCGTTTCGCTTATTGCTCAGCTTTCGAATTGCATTTCTATAAATACTAAATAACAAAAAGTTAATAGTAATTGAAATAATAAGTTAGGAGCTAAACTGCAAAATTAATGGAGATAATTGCAGTAAAATTGTAACAAAGTCATTGTAGTAAAATTTGAAAATCTTGAGAGCGATAGTAACAGTTTCTGCACCGAATATTCATTTTAATGAGAAGAACTACAAAAACATATTTTGCTTCATTCATTTAATAAAGTCACCGGGCAGCTCACGAAATAATAATAAAGAAATATTAGAATTATTTTAGCTTTTTTTTTAAAATTGGGATAGCGTGTGATATATATGTGATTGCATAGAGTTGACTAATACTACTCTATTAGTCAGTATTAGTCAACTCTATGCAATCACATCTTTATGCAATCACATAAATATCTCTATACATCTCTATGCAATCATATCACATATGCTTATCTTTCATGCAGTCATACTGATTATTTACTTTTCGTTTTACCCAGGGCGTATGACGGGTACTTAGCCAGTGTAAATATGAAACTAATTCTGTTACAATTTTCAATTCAATTTTCTGTTCAATTTTCTAATAGAAATTATAGATCAATTTATGTACCAAAGTCGACGAAATCTGCAAGAATAATATAATATGCTATATTTTCCGGTATCTTTATAGCTAATCCTGAACAGAAACATCCGTGACTTTAATATTTAGTAATGATATTAACAGTTGCTAGTGAAAGACAATAGCTCCGTCGTTTTTTACATATATTCCTAATAACTTCAACGACCATTGCTAATAACTAATAACATTAGTAATAATTTCAATGTAACAAAATTTTTATTTTTTCTAGTAAGATGAATAAGTTGGTTAATACGAAAAAAACTAAGTAGCATGAAGTAATGTAATCTAGCTTTAATGATTGAACGAGAAGAGAAAGTTTGATGAGTTAATTTTATAAACGTTATCCTTTAAAAAATCTAACCCTAATTTTGATATTTAGAGTTATTAGGGAAATAATATAGCTCCGTCGTTTTTGACATATATTGCTAATAACTTCAATGAACCATTCAAAATAAGGATTTTATCATTCCAAAAATTTAACATAGCTTAATTCTTTTTTAAACAACCATAAAGAAATCTGAAACGCAAAGAAGTTTTAAATAAACTCGTAACACAGCAAAATTATTAATCTAAATTTTCAAACAATTCTTACATTACCTTTAATCATTTTAAGATTTGCAGATAAAAATTGATTCAAGTATCGTCAAACGAAAGCACTTCGAAAGCAGTATTATATTTAAAGCTTCAAAAAATCCAAATATTATACGCGTATTCTCGAGTTAAAACAAATTACTTTCTTTTAGAGTTAGATTTTTCAAAGGATAACGTTTATAAAATTAACTCATAAAACTTTCTCTTCTCGTTCAATCATTAAAACTAGATTACATTATTTTATGTTACTTAGTTTTTTTTCTTCGTATTAACCAACTTATTCATCTTAATAGAGAAAATAGATTTTTTGTTTTATTGAAATGCAAATTTTTTCTGTTCTTTACAATCTGAACCTTAAGTAAATAGATTTTTTAAGAGGAAAAAAAATAATCTATGATTAGTTGATAAAAAAAATCTGTGTTGTTTAAAGTGAACTGCTAAAAAATATTTGCAACAAAGAAATAACTAATTTCCATCATGATCAAAAACAGTAAAATGAGAATCTATCGATTAACTTCATCAACCCTGAATATTGTAAATTTTTTTTTTAAGAAAATATTTTTTTTCCAGATCGTTTCGAGTTTTTTTTTACCAATTTTTTTTCTTTACTCAAACCATTAGTTACTTTTTTATGCGTTGTAATCGATATATTGTTTCAATAGTCTTTACTTTTTTCTTTAGCTGAATTTATCTTTTGTTTAGTTCTCATTTTCTGCAAATAATAAAACTGGTTAATTAAAAGTTTGGTATCAACTTGATTAATAGCATCCGATTACGAGTAAGACTGTTTTTAATGAGGAGGTATGTATATATGCATTTGTTGTTGAATATTTCTTTCTTAATAAATTTTGAAAAACGGTTGATTGAACTCGTATAAACTCGTTGAGATAATGAAACTTGTAAAAGATTCAAGCTTATTCAAAGCGTTAAAAATATTAATTAATATTTTTTCTATTAATAGAAAATATATCTTTTCTTTTAATAGTAATTTCTTTTTAAATAATATCCTTATTAATGGTATAAAATACACTATAAGTAGTCCCGCAGTGATCGTTAAGACACGGTTCCCAACAGATAACCGAAGTCAAGCATCATTGGCTACGGTCAGTGTGCGGATGGGTGACCACTTGGATCAGTCTGCGTAGGGACCGAGGTTGTGCGGTATTGGTTCTCGTTAAACTGTTCTACCGTAAGGAGCTCGACTTCGCGTGCAGGTCTTCGGGCTACCGAAGCGGGGTTGCCATCCCCTCTGCAGAGGATCCAAATTGTGATGGCATGTCTTCGGATCATCCTCAGGGGTGTTTCCCAGACATTCGCCAGTAGCTTCCAGGGTGTTTCCCAGACGGTCAGCTCTAGTGTGCGACATAAATTAACTACAACAACAACAATACTATAAATAAAATATTTCCCAACCCAATTTTTACTTCATTAAAATCATTTTAAAAGAAGAAGATTCATCGAATCGATATTTTCTTTTATACCTTTATAACTTGCGTTGTTTTAAACACAAATGTAGCATTTTTTACTAAGCAAGCGTACGTGAAATTGGCAGAAATATTCACGTTTGGTAAAAAACAAAAAACAGGCAAACATAGGTTTTGTTTAAATGATTGAAACCTTTACTGAAATATATATTTCAGACCGACAGACCCACAGGCGGACGCACAAGCAGGCAGGCATTAAACAATTTAAAATAAAATTAATGAATAAAAGAGACAAAAATTAGTTCAAGCTTCCACTGCTTAGCAAGAAAAAAAAGAATAGAAAGGAATGAAATTGGATTCTCAAAACTTTGTTTATTCATTACATTTGCTCATATAATACGAAGATTTTCTGGATATATTATAGCAACATGAAGCGTAATACTTGCTTTCAATCCAATTTTATTTGAAAATTGCCTTCAATCTCTTTCTTCCTTTACCTAATACACTTTTAACTTACTAGGTTTTTTAAATTGACTAATCAGTTTTTCTCAAAACCTGCCTCGACATGTTTTTTTAAAGGTTTCC